AAATACTTAAGAAAAACAACTTAAAGATTTATTTTGGCTCATGGTTTCAGAAGTTTCAGTCCAAGGTCAGCTGGCTCAGTCACTGTGGGTCTGAAATAGAGCAGAATATCATAGTGGTAGAAACATACGGCAAAAGAGGTTGATCATCTTTGTCTGCCAAAAAGGAGAGAGAGAGAGGAAGGGGCTGGGACATAATAAGCCTTCACAGGCCTATGCCCAGTGACCTATTTTTTTCGGCGAGGCTCCAGCTTCCGGTATCCCATTCATCTATAGACTCCTTAATGGAGCAACCCATTGATGAAATTAGCACCCTCATAAACCAATCATCTCCCAATAGTGTTACCAGCTGAGGCCAAGACTGCAACAAATGAGCCTTTTGGGGGAGGGACCCACTTTGTATCCAAAAAGTAACATTGTCAGAGGCTCTAAAAAAGATAAATCATGTGATTAAAGTTTTTAAAAAACCAAATACTACCACATAAAGTAATACTATTGCTAGTTTGTCATGGAGCATAACATAAGCTCCTCATCTTTTCTTTTTTTTTTTTTTAAGTCTCCTCTCTATTTAAACATTCATTATTTTTTGAGTCGTTTTGTTCTCTTTTGAGACAGGGTCTCACTGTAGCCCTGGCTGACCTCAAACTCATGATCCTCCCTCAGCCTCCAGAGAGCTGGGACTATAGGCATCACCACCACTCCAGGCTTCATAAGTAATTTTTTCTAGACATAACTCGCTGGTGCATGTGTGACTATACAACTTGATAAATACCAGTCAAAAAAATCAGCATTCAGCTTAAGGAGTCACATATCACAACAGTAAATAATTATTACATTTACATGCAAAAATCATGTTACGTGCTTAACACATATCAGGATTTGGTCAAACTTCTTGTGGATAAATTAATCACTGACTATTGGCATCATCATTAAAATATAATGGTAGTGTTCTATAAAGTAAGTTAAAAAGATCCTTTCTTTACTTTGATATCAGTGTAAATGTTATATAAATACATGTAATATTGATATATATGTAATACATATAATAAAAACATCCACCAAACACTTGTCAAAGCACTTTCTAGTACCTTTGATTTTCCATTAATCACAGGGTAGTGTATAGTATTCTATTTTATTGGCACAGAAAAGATTACTTACAACTGAAAGTCACACAGTTACAGCAGTGTGTAACCTGATTCAACCAAAACTCCATGTTAAGTTTCTTTTTGCTAAGTCACCACAAATTGGCTTATATTTTGTCACACAAAATTTGATGGAATATAAAACAGCAAGTCAAGTACTGTTTTTATATATTAAATAGCAATTTCAAACTATGAACAGAAATGAAGAAGAAAACACTAAAAAAGATTTCAAAAATATCTGTCCATTTTCTGTTACTATAACAAAATACTTGAAGCTGGATAATGTGTATGGAAAAAGGTTATAGCCTCTTTTTTTTTGAGGCTGAAAGTCCAAGGTTTGGCTTGGCTGTATTATTTGTTCTTCCTCTGCTGAGGGCCTGTGGCAGATGGCATTATGACAGGAATGCATGCCAGTAGGGGAGATCACACGGCAACACAAAACCAGAAACTGCAGAAAGGCCAGTCTTACTCTTTTATAGTAATTCACTCTCACAAGAACCAACTCCCTCTGCTAGCACAGGCAATGTCGATCCTTTCTGAGGACAGCATCCCCAATGACCAAATTACATTATGCTAGAACCCACCCCTTCAAGATTCTAACATCTTCTAACATCAGCCCACTGAAAACTAAGCCTCCAACACATGAAGCTGTGGGGGTACAAACCAAATGCAAACCATAGCAAAGGAACCAAAGAAATAATTTATGTTTATCTACCATACAAAAACATAGTGCTTTTGGAAATCTGCAGGGTTCTGTAAAAGCCTAAAAAAAGTCCAAAATCTGAATATAGTATAATTGTTCCAGTAAGACCAAGACGCATAAGTGCTATTTATTTATTTATTTAATGTTAAAGACAGGGTCTTTCCATATAGCCCAGGCTGCCCTTGAACTTGCAATCCTCCTGTCACAGCCACCTGAGTGCTGGTATTATAAATGTACACAACCCTGCTTGGCTCCATCGGTGCTTTTAATAACTTAAGTGAATGCTACAATTATGTGCTATATTTTACAATAGGGATTTTAATTATGATTAATAAGTCAAAAGGAAAGTGGGACAATTTTCATTTTCCTATCTTCCTAATGTTCCCCAAACTGCCGAGCATATAAAAGGTGTGTGATGCATAAAAATTAGCTATTTTTCGTTTTCTTTCCTTCTTTTTTTGGTGATACTGGGGTTTGAACTCAGGGTCTTACACTTGCTAGGCAGGCACTCTACCACTTGAGTCATGCCACCGTCCCTCTTTTTTTTTTTTTTATTATTTAAGAAAATAGAGGCTAAAGGGATGTTGTGAGCTTTTAGGTTAAGCCAGTTTCCATGGTCAGTCTTTTTAAAGTTTTTCTTTCTTAGCACTGTTGCTAAAATAGCAATTTGACAGTAAAACATTTAAATGCTTGGACACCAAGGTTTAGTGTCATTTTGTTTATGATACATCAAAATGTATGCACTGATATTTTTCTTTTCTTCTCCTGTTTTGCAGGTATTCAGTATTTAGGAAATGTGTGTGTGTGTGTGTGTGTGTGTTATCCTATATAAAACATTTTGAAATTAGAAAATATACTCATTGCAGCACTATTATGTATCCACCTATTTATGCATGCCTGTTTAAAATGAGTTCATAAGTTGGAAATCAGTTCAAAGTTTCATACAAAGAGCTGTTAAAATTAGAAAAGTTATTCATGCTTTAGAGCACAAAGAATCAAAAGATCAGATAAAAATAGCCTAACTATGATGCTAAATCTAGCCTTGCATGGGAGTTTCCTGCTCACAAATTTTCAGTTTTGTAAAGGGCATAGCCTCCAAACATTGAAGTCCACAATTTTGATACATCAGAAAATAATCTTTCTGAAACTAACCTGGCTGGCACACATATATTGTGACTAAAGGTATATTATGGCTAAATGAAGGATTGGAAAACCAAGAAATTGAAACGGAATCCATGTCAGTTACTTAGAAGTCAGGCACATGGTGCAGGAGAAGGGAAGAGTACCAGGTAAATATTAAGTGCTAGGCGCTGTTTCGGTCTAGAAAGTATAAAGAAACGGGCAAACTTAGAGCCTCCAGGCTGTCTGAAGATCTTAAGGAGGCCTCTTGTTATCCAGTAACATTACATTATTTCACAAGTCAGACCTAACAGAGCATACACTGCATCAATCCCCTAAGTTAATTCTGTTGAAAGCAAATCGCAGACTCTCTTATGTGCGTGTGCAGTAGTCTTAACCTTAATTGACGGCAAACCACCTGACCAGTGAAGAAACCCACGTGGCAGGGAAGAAAACGGTGAGGAATTCCTTGTGAAAAGAGTTGGTAGTATGTATATAAGGAAACAAGAAGTCTTCTTAAAATAACATGCAGTGAGACTTACCAGGAAGGGTACTGTTTAGTATAATTTTTCGGACTGGTTGTCACCTGGACATTAAATACATTACAAATGATGGAATCATAATTTCATACACCCCAAAACAGTGATTTCCTGTTATTTTCTTCTTTCAGTGCTTCAGAGCTGGCAGCTATGCAGGGAACTGCTAAGCAACTAAGTGTAAAGAGAATGGAGTTGGTGTAAAAATCTCAAATATTCCTTATACTCATGCAAGACCCTATTTACCACCTCCCATTTTCTGAGTACTAATGGACTTTGCGTTCTTTAATCCCTTTCTTGAGGTCTTGGCAGGCTGCATCTTTTCCGCTCTGGTAGGATGCCTCTGATATTCCTCAAGTCTGGTTTCACCGGCATAGAACTATGACATTTGTTTTGCTTTGCCTCTTGAGTAAGAACAGGAAGATTAGGTTCTGTGATTTCTTCCTCTGTACATTCTCTGTTCTGAATGAAATGTTCATACAAAGACAGGACTTAATGCTTGAGTGGAGCAGGTCAAACTCCTACTAAATTGCTCTCTAAGGTATGGACAAACTGCCTGCTGTCTTGCAGGGAAAGGCCATGTGAGTTGGTGGGTTGAGGGTATTTCAGATGTGGCTAGTTGGCCATGTAGCTATAGTACTTTAGCAATATTATACACATAGTTTAAAAAAGGAAAGTTATTGTACTGTCCATAATCCAGTGATTGTATTTGGTTGTGTTTTTTGGCATTTCCACCACGGTAAAATGGCTCTGGGATAAGAGAGGCTGAACCGCTGGGGGACTTAAACCCAGACTTTGTAGCCTGATTCAGTGTACACACACTGGTCGACCAGCTTTAGGGGTTACTAATTCTGGAATGTGGAAGCAGTGGGTCCAAACCCGCCTTCTTCCTCTTTAAAAGCCCTTACACAACTCTGCCAGCTAAAGATCCACCTTCTTCAGGAGGTCCAAGCTCAGCTCACGAATCAAAAGATGACTCCGCATTTAAAAATCCGTCCGGACTCGCGCGCGCCAGGGGCCGGAAGTCGCACCACGTGACCTGCTCTCCTCCGCGGCCATTCTCAGCGAGGCAGACGCCACCGCCTTCTGCACTGCATAGCTTCCTGCAGCACGGGACGGCGCGGAGCCGTCTGACAGGAGGCGGTCCAAGTTAGCTTTGGGCTCCCGTGTCAGCAGAACTCGCGCCTCTTCCAGCAGTGCATTACAAGTCCCTCTTTCCAAAGAGCTGCGGGAGATTTCCGCCTGGGTGCCAACCACGTGATCACGCGAGACTTAGCGAGGGAGGCGCTGGGCCGCCTTCCTTACTCTAGTCCTGGAGCTCCATCCGCCCAGTACTCTCCGCTGCGTGTGACGACGCGGCTCGCGGCGGCCTCCGCCCCGGCGCGCCTGCGCACGCGGCTCTCGCGGTGTCTCGCGCTCAGCCCCGCCCACCGCTGCCCCCGCCCTTTCCGCCCCTCCCTCCCCTCCGCCCTGTCTCTCGGCGGCAGCGGCGGCGGCGGTACGCGCAGCTTGTTGGCTCGCTATATAAAGGGGAGAAGCAGGCGGACCGGACGGCTGGGGCTGCAGCCGGTGGCGGCAGCGGCGGCGCGGGGAGCGGCGGCCGGTGGCCGGTGGTGGTTTCCCTCCTTGGCGCCTAGTGGGGAGCGGGCAACGCCCCCTCCCCCCCACCCCCGGGGACCCTTGAAGGGTTGTGACTTTTTTTTTCTTTTAAGAGGAGATTCTTGAGGTGTTTTTTTTTTTTTAAGCTCCAGAAGGAGTGCCCCCCCCCTCCCATTCTCACCGCTTCTCCCCTGTGTACCTTCCGGATCTATTTTGTTTAAAATTTTTGCCCCAATCTTGCAGTGACCTGGGTCACCCTCCAGGTCTTTTTTTTTTTTTTTTTCGTTTTGTTTTTAATCTTGTTTTCTCGGGGTTGCCACCCTCTTGTTTGTGTTGTGTGTGGAAATGGCGAACTCGGCAAATACAAACACCGTGGTAAGGACGTGGTTCGGTGGCCGGCGGGGGCTTCTTTCAGGCGGCAGCAACGGCCGAACCGGGCGGGGGCGGGGACGGCGGCGGCTCCGGGGGGCCTCGACTTCCCCGCCGGCGCGACTGCCGCCGCTTCCCGCCTCGGGTGGACGGACGGACAGACGGCCGGGCGGTGGGGGGGGGCGCCGAGGGCTCGCGGCGGCGGGAGGGCGGGGGAGCGGCGGGACCGGGGCCGGCGCGGGGCGGGCCGGGCCGCGCAGGCGGTTGGGCCCGGGCGGGCGCGCGGCCCGGCCCTCGCCGCGGGAGCGAGGCCGGGCGGGAGGAAGGTCGCCGCCGCCGCCCCGTTGGGGGCTCGTCTGCGGGCGCTCGCCGAGGCTCCAGAGCGGCCGTGGAACAAAAGCCGTGCCCGGGGAGTTGGGCGAATTCCCCGAAAGGCAGTGGCTAACTTGGGGTTCACTTTGGGGACTGTCTCTGGCGGTTGTGCTTTGGAAATCTCTCACTGGGGCCATTTTATGCTTTTTACAAAAAGGACGAAGGTTGAAAAGCACTTATCTCGGTTCCTTCCGAAGGGGTAAAATGGCGAAGGGGAAGCCATACCCCCCCCAATCGTATCTCCGACTAGCAAAAGCACCAAAACAAACAAACAAAAAGCCTACTGTGGTCAAAAGTGTCCCCGCTTTCGCCTTGAAATTTGCCTACTTCTTCCTGCTGGTCCCTTTTTGGTTACTTGAGATCACGTAGGTTTGCAAAAAGCAGTCACATCAATAACCTTTTCAGTCCCCAACGCAATGCGATCACTCGCCCACCCGACTCAGTTATTTTTATTGTGACAATAAAAACACGTTTTCGCCCGGTCCCAAATGCTGCAGACAAGCCCGCGGCCGCCCGACCCCCGTACCGTTGACGACTCGGGTCGATCCATCATGGCTGCGGCCGCCTAGCCTGCATTTCAGCCCCTGAGCCTTGTGGTCCTCCTCCCTTTGGCTGCCCTGTTTATATAGAGCCATTGCCGCTCTCTAATATAGACTCTGCCAGGATGGGAAGGTGCTTTTCAGGCCTACGTCACCGCCTCTCCATTTAAACACCAGATCCGGCTTTAAATAGTGAGAGCTGCCGAGCGCGGGGCTGGGAGGTGCGTGCTCCCGAGCGAGAGGCGGGCGCGTGCGGATCGCTGCGCCGCGCGGGAGCTCACGCGGGGGTTCGGCTTCAGCACCCCAAGTTTTTGTTTTGCTGAAGCAGCAGCAGCAAGGATTTTCCTTCGTTAGAGGAAATATGCATGGGTTGCCGCTCTTTATATTTTACTTTTTTAATTTCTTAAGATTTTAGATCAGATGTTCTGAGCATTTTTTTTTTTGGATTGGATGGTGTCTGTATTACTATTGGGATTTTTTTTTTTTAATGCTTATTGTATATTAAATGTTAGCCGCAGAAGACTTGGGTTTGGTAGTATTTTGCTCATCAGGTATTCAGGAAATAGGATAGAAATACAGCTCCTAATATTTCATTGTGTCTCCCTGTAACATAACTTTAGAAAGCTTACCAAACCGATAATTGATTAAAGCTTCCACGGAGGATCTTATGTCCACGGTAGATTTGCGTGTAGGGGAACTGTGAGTAATGAGAGTGAAGGAGACTTAATAGTAATTAGGAAATTAGAAATTAAGAAATTTAAATTCTAAATAGGTAGTATTTTTACAGCATCGAAGATTTAGCATGTTATCGAGTATAAAATTAATTTTCCAACATTGCGCCAGACACCTGACACTTGAAAAGAACCTTCCAGTTCACCACTGATAATGCCGCTCATGCCCTCTAACTTACCAGTTTTAATGTTTGGAATATTTGGGGTTTTTTTCAGGTCAGGACAAACCAATATAATTGGTATTTAATAAAAGATAAAAAACTTTGGCTCATTTGAAGTTTAGAAATAAAATAATAATTTAGAAATTGCTTATTTCAATTTTTCCCTCATATTCCCACATACTTTTAAAAATAGTGTGAAGGCTTTTCAAACTGAACATTCTGCTAAATTATCTTTATGAACATACTTTGAAGTCTACACATTTCACTTCTTCCTTCAACCATAGTGCTTATGAATTAGTTAAGTGGTCAAGTTGTGGGTTCATTAAGACACAAAAGCAAAATCTTAAAGCATGATTATTAAGTTGGGAGTACCAGAAGAAAGCAGATATGTACCTGTAAATGAATCTTAAGCAAAAGGTTCTCTGTAACTGATTTCAGAAATGTCAAAACAATGTCTATAGGGTTACTGTGCTTCATGCCTGATATCATACCTACTCAGGAGGCAGAGATGAGGAGAATTGGAGTTTGAAGCCAGCTTGGGCAAATAGTTTGTGAGACCCTATCTGGAAAAATACCCAACCAAAAAAGGGCTGGCAGAGTGATTCAAGTGGCAGAGAACCTGCCTAGCAAACATGGGGCCCTGAGTTCAGACCCCAGTACCGTTACAAAATAAAACGTCTAGTTTGCTGGAGAAATAATGTCTTTAGTTTGAGATTCATCCTACCAATTTAAAGTTACATTGCCTACATACAATGCCTTGAGGAGTCATTATTGGTAGAAAACACTTCATATATGTACTTTTGTAATTCAGTAAGTTGTGGGAAAGATGGTATCCCTATAGTCACTTAAGGAGAGAATATACAAAATCAGAATGTTAACATGAGAAAATTCAGAGATGTACATTTTACAGGTTAATAACGTTCACAGAAGAAGATTAGGTTGATAAAAAAAGATGAGTGAGTGGAACAGTAAGGATGACAACCTAGATATTTGAGTTGTTCTGGTTGTAATGAAAAGGAATGAATAGTTTTTGGTGGTTGAGGTAACTTCTGACAAACTGGTATTTTTCTTAGAGGTTTCCTTGTGGTAACAGTATGCTGATAGATGTTAATGAAGCATTTATTTCTGTTTGAGGTTTGCTTATGAAAACAAACCCTTGGTTTTATTGGCTAGTTAGTAACTAACTTTAAGACAGGTTTAAAAATGACAAAGCATTAAAAAAAAAGTTTGTAAACACTAACTCTGGGATACTGAATAAAACTTATAAGGAGTCAGCCCTAGTTTTCATCTGACCTGCAAACTTCCTTTTGTTTTAACAGGTTAAAAAAAGTATGTGGGTTAAGCTAATTGTTCTAATTCCCTCCTTTTGGTTTAAAAAAAACAAAAACCAAATTTAAAGTGCTTTCATATCTGTTGTTATACACATTTTATTCTGGACCATTTAGAAGCCAGCTCCTTCACTCCTCTACCATATCTCCAATACCAATAGTAATAATTAATTAATAAAATGACCATACAAAGGTGTTCAGTCCCTTAGCATCACTTGGGCAGGAATAGAGAGGTCATTGGAAAGGGATCATTATCCCTCTGGGATCTTGAAACCTGTAAGTGTGTGTATATGAACAGTTTAATGATATAGCTTAGACTATAACTTAGGTCACAAAAAAGAGAAGTGAAATGATTTTTATGCTTGAATATTTACTATTACCAGGCAGTTGACTGTGGGACATAAGGTTCTCCAAACTCTTAATACCTATGGCAAGGTTATGAGCTACAACAGGGATTAAACTAAGCATGAAATAATAGGAACTGGATATATATAGTTAGAAAGCTATTATTAAACAAAACTAGGTATTTTGACTACAACATAGGAATTCGTAACTGGAAATTTTATAAACCTTGTATGCTTAATACTGAAATATGTAGTCATCAAATACAGTTTAACAAAGGCAAATGATTTTTATTAGGATGGCTGTATCTTTAAATTTTTACAACTTTTTGTATTTTGGGGGGAAAGTAGTGGGGTTTGAATTCAGAGCCTCATGGTTGCAGGCAGGTACTCTACAACTTGAACCACATCCCCAGCCCTCAAGTCTTAAAAGTTTTAGAGAGTTGGCAAATTGTTGTGTTTTTAATTTGTTTGAATTTCTGAAAGCCTATTATACATTTTAACCAGTTGAAAACAATATCAAGAGTTTTATTTTCCTTTAAAGCCTAAATTATATAGATCTGTGATTGAAGATGTTATTAATGATGTGAGAGACATCTTTCTGGATGATGGAGTGGATGAACAAGTCCTGATGGAGCTAAAAACTGTGAGTTTGTCTTTCTCCTTTTTAAAATACTTTCTACCCCCAAACATTCTCATTAGCCAATAATGAATTTACAATTGTTTGTAAGATGAATGTTTGACTTTTTTTAATGTAGTAGCTTTAGAAAATATTTAGCAAAATGTGTACCTGTTTAGCAGTATCTATTATTACTGGATAACTAATAGTCTCCAGTTTTTACTTGACAAGCCTGTAAACTTTTAAAAATCTTTCTTAATGGTCTTAAGTACCCGTATTCTAAAATTTGTTAAGTTGTAGGGATCAATTGGGTACTTGATAAAAGAATTTTAGGTTCTTAAGTCATACCCTTTTTTATTTTATTTTATTTTTTTTGTGGTATTGGAGTTTGATTTCACGGCTTCGTGCTTGGTAGACAGGTGCTCTAGCACTTGAGCCACACCTCTGGGCAATGTTCTTATTTCTAAATAAATTAGTAAATATTTTTTCAGATCCTTCTTGTTATTTCTGTTGCTATAATTCACAAGCACAAACGCTCTTCTAGGTCTTCTTTTGAAAATAAATAAAGGGTCCTGAGATCAAAAGGTTAGTAGTACTGGCTTAGAAATTGTATATTGAGCTCCTTCAGAGCTATTTATGAGTTAACAGTCACAATTAATAAAATGCTAAAGAAATTTGTGATCTTATTTATCCATTCTGCAAAGATGTGGAAGCTGGAATCCAGCATCTCATTATTTTAAATGAAAGAAGTCTCTCCTTTATTGTGGTGAAGAAATGTATTTGTCTTAGTGTGTTTAAGCATCTGTGGACCACTACGCCATTCAATAAAAATCTGCAGGACTGGAGGTGTGTCTCAAGCGGTAGAACACCTGCCTAGAAAGTGTGAAGCCCTGAGTTCAAACTCCATTATGACCAAAAACAAGTTCATAGGTGAATCTGTGTGAGGAAAGAAAAAAGTGTAAGCTTTAGTGAGATGGGGGAATACCCTGAGAGAAGCACAAGGGTTATTTGTAGAGAATAAGTGTCTAAAAAATTTAAGCGTAAGGTTGCGTACTATGAGGCATAAGTTAGAAGAGCAATATAAACTGCTCAAGCAGCATGAAGTGTCTCAGGGATATTAATAATAAGAGAATAAACTTATTTGATTATTTAGTGTAGTGGAGGGAGCGCTTTATAATTTTTTGCACTCACACGGTGCTTGTAGTTTTGCGACATCATGTAGAAGATTTAACATCTGTAGGTGTAGAAAATCAATCCTAAACACTTTTTAAAGTAATTTGCTGTAGGTCAAAGTAGTGGTCAGTGTAGGTTATTTTTTTGTCTTTCTTGTTTTGCACAATGAAAATCTGGAGAATTGATTGTTTCTACTGGTCCTGATAGATACATGAAATTCTATCCAAGAAAATTAGTTATCTTTGAAAAATCAGGTATCTCCACTTGCATTTTTATTACATTTGACTTTTTAAGTATACATTGATGTCGTATAGGTCATATAGTAATATTTTGTTTAATGGTTAGTTTAACTTTGAGTGGCCAGCTTCTACCACAATACCTGGCATATGCAGTTGACACTCAGTAAATATTTTGCTGAATGGGTTAAGAACAAAAGTGGCTCCAGAATCTTAACTGAACAAAATATTTTTGTTGTATTTAAATGGGGCATACTCTGATCCTGGGTTGTAATAGGAGTTAAAAATAAAACTGTTACACTAAAATAAGTTTACTTTAATTCTTTGCACTAAATTTCTTCAGGTTCTCATTAGAATCTCTAGAATGTGTCCTAGATTTAACAGTTGGACACTCAGTACTTCCTAATCCAACTGTCTGCAGTGGTAGCCATGTTCTATACCTATGTTCTCCATTATGGTAGTTATTAGCCACATATGGCTACTGAGCACTTGAAATGTGATCAGGGGAACTGAAGAATTGACATTAGTTTTAGTTAATTTAAACTTAAATTACCACATGTGACTTATGACCACCATATTGGACTGTGCAGATTTAGACATTCTTACTAATAAAACTAACATTAATTTTATATTTTATAATCTATAAAAAACTGTCACTTAATAGCCCATCTCCCCCACCCACCCACCTATTTTTTGGCCATTTCACAAACTTTTATCAAAAGTTTGCATAAGGCTGTAAAGAACCGAGTGGTGAATTAGATTGTGAATTAAGATACATTGAAAGAATGCATGTAATTTGAGTTCACTAGATACTGTAGAAGAAGTGATGGTAAAATATTTAGCCCAATTACTGAGGTTACTTCATGAACTGCTCTGGGCCTACTTTAATGTATGAACTGTGGGAGACAGAGAAGACATTAAGTACAGGTCTGTCAGTAAATTCATACTTAAATGTAGTATGTTTTGGATTGGTAAGTGACTTGCATGAGAATGACACTCAGAAATTCTCTTCAAAGTGAATGATAAAATCGTCCTAATTTCTAGGATCATCATACCTACCCATATCCAAAAAGCAAGTACCATGTGACATATAAAATATGGTCCCTTTTTTAAAATAAAATGAGTAAAGTTTCCTCAGTTGAAAACAAATCTAAAAATTCAGTTTATCTGCCTTTTGTTCAGGTTTCTCAACCTTGGCATTATTGACATTTTATATTGGTTAATGGTTGCAGGGGCTATGCTGTTCATTGTAGAATCTTAGTAGTGTAACTGACTTCTGCCCACTAGATGCCAGTAGTACCCTTTCCTTGTGATCAGAAATGTCTCCAGACATTGCCAGATCTGCTTAAGAAAGGGGGAGGGAGCAAAATATCCCCCAAGATAAGAACCACTATTCTAAATGTACTCTGTAGATATGTGATATACTATGTATAAATTCCTGGACCATATATTGAATAATCTACTTTCTACTTCATGTGCTCTTGAGAAAGTTGGGTGTCCTAACATTTCTTTGGAGCTCTGAAATGGAATTAAGTCATGTATCTTACTCAGAAGCCAGAAGTTTTGTGAAGAAAATAGAAGAATTTTTTAGAATTTCTAGTGTGACATACTGCCAGGGAACAGTATGTTCACATTTTATAAACTAGAAGGTAAACTCAGACATACTTTGATAAGGACATTTAGCTAGTAAGCGGAAGGGATGTGAATCTAAGCCTTTGATCTCCTGTGACATACACGACACTAAACTGGTAAGAGGGAAGGTATAAGAGTTATGTCTGGATGTTGGGTTGGTGAGACAGATCTTAGAGACATTTAAGTGCTCTGAGAACAGTATTGTTGAGAGAGTAGGAACTTGGATTAGAGCTGGGAATTATGGTGAGACAAGTGAGGAACAAAACTGAGACACTGGAGTTTAGACCCTCTAGATTATGTTCTAGTTCTGCCTGCCATTTGGTGTGATCGTCAATAAATTGCCTTAATTCTTGCCATCAGGTTCTTTTACTGCACAAAAGGAGATAGTAGTATCTATTATATAATTTTTGTAAAAACTGAGTCCACATGCTAACTCCTTAGAAAGTACATATAACTCAGTACATTTTAGCTATTAAAATGTCTAGTTAACATGTATGTAAGTGCAGATCTCATTCATTTTGGGAATAGAGGACGAATTTTCATGTGAATTTTAGAAACCTAGGCAAAGATTGCTGACGTAGGACTGCGAGAAATAATTCCTACTTGTTAGGGAAGAGTTGAGTACTGTAAAAGTGAGGAGAAAAAAGGGTCGTTCAATCCTATTTTCCAAGCAAAATAAATAGATAACAGTTCAGTATGCCTGGTTATCTTCAGTATTAATAGTATGATTACTATTGCCCAAACTGTTACATTGTTTATTTTGACAACTGATATTTGAAACATTGCATGTTTTGGTAAAATTAAAATTACATAAAAATGAAATTGCAGAGAAACTGTAAACTTCATGTTGTAAACTTAATAGTTGGTACTTGTATACTACTATTTTTATATTTCCTTCATTACCTAGAACAGTATAATGGTGCCTGCTAAATACTGATTCTCAGTAAACTATCCCAACAAAGCTTTGGAAATGTGTGGGGCCATGTTTGTGAGAATTGCCTTGCCTAAAATGTCAATAGCATTCTTACAGAGAAATACTATTCTAGTAAACAGTATTTTGTTTTTTCCACTTTTTCTTTGAATTTAATATTAAATGACTGTTAAATTCTTAGTTTTGTGTTAGATTCTGAGTAAGACAGTCTACCCTGAAGGAATTCATACTTAGTGTAATAAGTGTAAAAATAGAAACTTCTCTAAAAAGCACACGCAGTAAGTGACTACTTTGAAGGTATATGATTTTGACATTTGCCTTGTTTTAGGAATTGTAAGGGAAGACTGCTGATCATAAGGAACAGTCTTAAGTTATGTATACTCTATTCTGGGAACTGCAAGCGGTTGAGTACTGTTAGAAAATAGAGTGCAAATTGTAGCAGTTGGCATATGGTAACATATGCTACACTAAAGAGTTTGGCCTTTAAAGTGAAAAGGATCATCTGAGAAACTAGTTAAAATGCAGGTTTTAGGGCTTCTGCTCCAGAGTCTGACTTAATGAGAGTGTAGAATGGGACTCAGGAATCTGGTTTTGTAAATTTAGTAGTCCTCACTTAACCACAGTTTCACTTTTCAAGGTTTCACTTACCCAGTCAGCTACAGTCAAAAACATTAAGTGGAAAATTCCAGAAATAAACAATAGTAAGTTTTAAATTATGTGCCTTTCTGAGTGATGAAATCTCTTGCCAGCCAGCTCCACAGTGTCTGGGATGTGAGTCATCTTTCTCCAGCTTATCCTCACTATATATGCCACTTACCCATTAATCACTTGGTAACCATCTCAATTATCAGATTACCTGTCACAGTATGACAGTGTTTATATTCAAGTAACCCTTATGTCGTACCTGCTATGTCATAGGCCTATGTTATTCACCTCTGTTTATTTCATTATGTAGGCATTGTATTATATCATAACAAGAATAAGAGGTAGTATAGTACAATAACATTTTGAAAGACCACATTCAGCAACTTTTGTTACAATGTATATTATAACTTTTCTATTTTGTTTTTCTAATGTCTTACTGTGCAAAATTTATAAATTAAACTTTTTTATCATAGGTATGTATGTATAGGAAGAAATGTTTGAGTTCAGTATGGTTTTTAACATCCTTTGTGAGTCTTAGAACATATCTCCCAAGTATATGGGATATTTTCTCTATTTCAGATTGTAGGATATATATCTATAGATTAAAACTTGTTTCTGGTCCAGTTTTTAAGTTGAAGATAAATTTATAAACTTTAGAAAATTCAAAATAGAGGAAAAAATACAAACTTCTTAAAGAAGACCCTCAAGAAATAATAGTGTTTAACATTTTGATTAAATATACACTTGTGTATGTGTACATGTGTATAATTGAAACAAAATCTGCAAAACATTTCTTACTCTGCATTTTCTTTTCAGTTTGATTTCACTTATAAAAACATCTAAGTTGACTTTTTATGACCCCAGTAATGGGTTGCAGTCCTTAGTTTGAAAAGCATTGGTTTAGACTTTACTATTCTCACTTTAGCAAGCATCAGAATAACCTGGACACTTTGCTAGAATAGCTTGTTGGCTTCTCCTCCAGAGTATCTAATAGGGTGGGTCTAAGACAGGACCTAAGAATTAGTATTTTAACAAATTCTTGGGTGATACTGATGTTGTTAGCTTTGGAACCACATTTTAAGGATTGCTGATTTATAGAGATCAGATTGGAAAGACAAGTTTCCACTGGTTGGAGGACAAGGATTTTTGTTAAGTTTGTTCACTGTCTCTTCTTAATGCCTATAATAATGTGTGGCATATAGGAGACAATCTATAATTACTTGTACAGTACTTGTCTTGATGCAGGAAGCTCAGAGGGGTGATAGAGTATTCGAGAACCTAACTATAAATAGTACCTTAATCATAATGTGTTTTATTTGCCATGCAAAGATGTGCCAAGATCTTTACCAAGATGAACTGGACACAGTTCGGACTCTTAGAAAGTAGTACTTTGTTGCCACAAGAAGAAAATAGCTATTTTTAATTTGGGATTTATTAGCCATAGGTAAGTTTAGAAATAATCTGATTCAGGTTCCCTCTTTTTAGATAAGGACAATGCCTAAGAAAGATAAATTACTTGGCTTCATTAATGACTAACCTAGGATTGACTGGTTTCCTGACTTTTTAGATATAATGCTCTGTTTTGCAGTTAACACCACCACTAGCAATAATAATAACAGCTTTTGTTAATCTTTGTTATTGCCATTGGTGGTATTAATTGAAAACACTCTGGTATGTGTTTTACATGGATATATTATTTAGTTCTCAACAACCAGGGGCACATATTGTTATTATCTCTAGTATAGATGTTAGGTATTTATAAATATGGGGCTTGCTAGGGAGATGGTTTCACTGCAAAGTTGACTGTTAGGTTACTTTTTTTTCGGTAAACTGTAAAAGGTGCTAGAGATTGTTGCTAGCATGTAGCTATAAATCTAGAATGTCTAGAATGGGGAAGGAGATAATAAAAAAAAATGTCTTTAAATATGGCAAGGGGAGCATAACATACTAAAGGATTTGTTAGAGCTCTCAGGTGAGTGAGGCAGTGTCCTCCCCAAGAGCAGATCCTGAAGGAGAAAAACAAAATATTCATAGATCCTTGTGTGCAAAATGACCAAATTGTTTCATTTGCAGCTTTTTGGGGGGTAATTTCTTAAAGGGTCAAGGCTCTAGTTTAGAAATGGTTTCGATGATTAAAAAAAGATAATCTTTGATTACCAAAAAAAGTTTCTTAGGTGAAACTCTTTGCTAAATAATATCTGCAATTAAGGAATTACTGTAGAAAGTTTGTTGGAGATATTAAAAAGAAAGGAAGAAAATATTTTTCAGTACTCTACAAAGTGACAAAGATGGGGTTTGGTTCGTTAGAGATTTTTTTTCTCATTATTTATACTTGGGTAGAAATTAAAGATTGGTTTATTTTTTGTGGCTAGATCAGTTTTTAAAGTGGAAGACATTTATAAACAGCTGATAAATATTTTGCTCAGATCTCAGTTATTTTCTGATTTTCACTAAGAGATCCTTAATGTTCTTTGCTTTAGTTATGGGAGAATAAACTAATGCAGTCTAGGGCTGTAGATGGATTTCATTCAGAAGAGCAGCAACTTTTATTGCAAGTTCAACAGCAGCATCAACCCCAGCAGCAGCAGCATCACCACCATCACCACCATCAGCAAGCTCAACCTCAGCAGACTGTACCTCAGCAAGCACAGACCCAGCAGGTCCTTATTCCAGCATCACAGCAAGGTGAGATAGGATTTGTTTTTCCTACTGTGGCTTTTTAATTAAATTTGTCTTTTGAAGTTTCCAAAGAAGAAAATGAACTGGAGATACAGCTCAAGCAGTAGAGTGCCTGCCTGGCAAGCTTGGTGAAGTCCTGTGTTCAAATCCCAATATTGCTATAAAAAAAAAAAAAGTACTGTGAGTTTCTTGAATGTTCTTTTTAAGAGGTACTTGGTAAATCTTAAAAAACTATAAAACTGTGTTGCTATTTTTTCTTTTCCCCCTCTACAGGCTGAGCTTGTGTGTGTATTCATACAAATATATATAAGTGTGTGAATTTATTAAAAAATGTGAAACCTATTTGTATAGCAATGACAGATAATTCCCTAAATGAAAACCTTAGATTCTATTTAAGGAAGTTGTGTTATTTTCTTTTGAGAAGGCTATTACGCTGGTGAATTTCCTGCAGTAGGTTAGCTCTATAGAGATGTATTTACTAAGGGCTTCATTATTTTATGTATAAAATAATTGCCCACTCTCCTTATGAAACATGTTTCTTCAAGGACATGTTTGGTTTTCCTTCTTATTCAGTAAGATGTTGAAGGAATTTTGTAATTTTGCTTAGGCAGTCTGAAAACTCAATCCCAAAGTTGTTTATGTAAATCTAAATTGACAAAGTAGATGTCTTTTAAGAAAAGAGTGGATTTATAACATAGTTTAATTTATATTACTTGGCTTAAAAATAAGAAAAAGCATATTTATAGATTATGCACAGTACTTTGCAATATGGAAGTCATTTTATAGCTCTGATTTCATTACCAGCTTGTAGGGATTTGTGAAATAGCTCTTAGCTCCATTTTACAGATGCGAAAAATCTGGGCCCTTGGAAAGGCTGAGAATCTTAATCCATTACATGTAGCAAGTGTTTTTTTCTCATGACAAGCATCTGTTCAGTTAAAAAATTTCCTGAGTGTTCTAATTCAGTGAGCTTGATTGGTACTGGAGAGGAATGTAAAGATAAAAAAGTTCATTTTAAAGTAATAATTTAGGTGCCCATTTGTCTCATTCAAGCAAAAAAGACAAAAAACTAATAGTGATACTTGGTAGAAACGGAATATTTGAGTTACTATTTATGACTAAATAAGACTTTCAATATCTGATTTTTGGCTGTACTGGGATTTGAACTCAGTGCCTCACACTTTCTAGGCAGGTGCTCTTACCACTTGAGCCACTCCACCAGCTTAATACCTGATTTTAAATCTGTACCTTTTATGAAATCATTGTATCTTTTTCCTCTTTGATGACTGTTCCTCCTATTGCCTTTAGTCCTGGCACTAGGATTTTAAGTCATCATAAATTAAAATTTGATTTTCTTCACTCAGAGAATATTAGGATAATGGGATTATCTGTGTATTCTCTGAAATTTGCGGAATCAGACAATTCTTTTTAAGTAACATTGCCAGTATTTTTGAATTGTATTTTTTAAACAGTTGATGAAAGAAACACAACAGTGGTTGGGGGAAAAGGACTACAGATAAATAAAAAATTAGTTGTTTAACTTTTTGAGTTTACTTTTATATCGATAAAACAGTTAATTCTGAGTTAGTAAGGCAAGATTAAATTAAGTTTGAAGAATTCCAGCTTATTTAAGAATGTAGAGAAATGTGTATGTGTAGTTGTTAGGTATCTCATCAATTTGTGTTCCTAAATTCACTTAAGTGAATTGCTTAATTCTTAAGTATTGTCATTTAAATATATTTTTACTGTTTTCCAGTATAGGGTGGGTATATAACAGCTCTTGTTTTCCATACAAATTTAAAACCTCTGAGACATCAAATGGTTGAGAGTATTTGAATGCAGAAAATATGAAAAAAGCATTCAGCATTATATAACATTCTTGTAACTATGAAATAGCCTCATGATGCCTTGTTTCAATGTGTGTGTGTGTGTGTGTGTTTGTTTTCCTGTAGGTACAACACCACAAGTTATTGTTCCTGATTCTAAGCTGATACAACATATGAATGCATCAAGCATGGTAAGACTGGCTTTCTTTATTCTAATCCAATTGTTATTATGTGTAAGTATGTTGTATATTAACAACTTGAAGACAATTGAAGACTTGAGTAAAAAAAGCTGGTTTTGGGGGGTTTTTTTTGTCTTTTTTTTTTAGTTTGCTGACTATTGCATTTTGCAACAAATTTAAGTTTTAGCTAGTAGTTAGATATTGAGATCATAAAATCATGCAGTTTTCTTTTTTAAAAAATACGAAAAGGATGATGCTTTGTGGGAACTACTTCATCCCCAGTTGTTATGCCACATACAGTTCTATTTCAGATCTGTTAATTGTAAGAGATCAGGAATGCTAAGAGATGTAAACATTTTAAAAATGAAAATGGAACTATTTGGAGTGTTCAAGATAACATTCAAAACTCTTTGCTCTGACTCCATAATGTAGTCTTAAGTTTTATTATAATCTGTAAATTGATATTTGGGAGACTGAAATGGGAAGGATCATGGTTTGAGGAGAGTGTGGGCAAATACCCTGAGCAAAAATTGACGGGAGGTGTGGCTCAAGTGGTAGAGCACCTGCTTTGTGAGCACAGAGCCCTGAGTTTAAACCCTCGTCACACACACACACACACACACACCCCCCACCCCCGTTGATTTACATTTGAATTTGGTATTTCTGAAGCATAATCACTGACCTTACAAGTCCTCAAGCTTTCAAATTATTCTTAGGGTAGATACTCATGTCAGATGTAATATAGTGTATAAGTTTAAAATTGAAAGAACCTCTTCAGATTCTTAGAAATCTTTTTTTTTTTTTTCTTGCATATTGGGGTTGAACTCAGGGCCTCACACTTGCTAAGCAAGCGCTGCTACTTGAGCTACTACCCCAGCCCTTTGCCTGTATCTTTTAAGTCTTACAGAGAAAACATTAAAACTCAATCTGCTTAGAGAGGTTGCTTAGTAGTTTCTCACAAATAGCTTTAAAAAATTTTATTTTTAAAAATATGTAGACTTAAATCCTAGGGTGGTGTCTCAGCTCTGACATTTTCATTCTTAAATTGTGCCAGAATTTTTATTTAAATGTAAAAGCCATTATTTGTAAAATAATCTCTTAGCTCTGTAAGAAGTGCTAGCATCGAAATGTGTTTCTTTAAAACAAAAGGCATATTTTTAAAAAATCATTTTGATTTGTGAGTGTTAGTGAACCACCAGAGCTCACTTGTGATTTATAAGCCAAACAGACAAATGGCTTTCTCTTATACATTTACCATCTTCATAAATACATACCTTGGGGGATAGTAAAAATTGGAAAATTTTTTTGGAGGAGATAAAAACAATTTTATTGTCTATTATTGTTATAAAAAAAGCTTAGAGTAGATTTATACAGAAAAAAACTCAGTAGTAAATGAGAACATAAGAAATTGGATTTTTTTAATTCACAAATATAAGGGATCTCTATTTGTACTTTCAGTTCAGGTTATTAGTTTTGCATGAAATTCACAATACTCAGCTCCTCACAAGAATCTTTATTATTCACAAATTTTCCATTTTAAGTTTAAAGAAACAAACTTTCGCAGAATCAGCTAGAATAGGCTCTTCTAATTTTGAAGGGTCTTAAATGTTATAGGAGAGAATTTTAAATTAATTAATATTTTGTTTAAAGACACTGGGGTAAAATCAGTGGTCCTTTTTTTCTTACTGGTTAGGTCTTTTGATACTAAAGAACACATGTACTTAAACAGAAACTTCAACCAATAAAATACATTAGTATTTCCCCACTCTAGTTCTGATTGTTCTCCTGGCTTTGTGTGTCTTATAAATGAACACACTGAAACTGGAAAGTTGGGTAATTTCATTAAAATGAAGAATAGCGAGAATATAATATTAGACAAATGGTTACTTCAGGAAACGTATAGTAAACCAATTTTCAGGTTCTCTTTATGAAGTTATTGGTCTAATGCATTCATGTTTGAGCTATTTCATAAAATACAAGAAGAAATTTTCAATAGTCATTAAATGAATGGTGATTTGTTGTGGTACATTACTCAACAAATATTTATTGGTCAACTTGAATATGTAGAAAGTGTACAGGTGGTTATTGTCTTGTGTATGCTGTATAGAAGTAATTGTGCTAGTTTACTGATAGATGAAGATCTGTTTTCTTATAACAGATGAATTATAGGTGCTTAATATTTCTAACTACTTCTTAATGGTAACTGGTTGGATATATTCCTTAAACTTAGGTTACGTTTTATTTGCTCATATAGACAAGATTTATTTTAATTGGGTTGTTGGATATACAACTTAAAGATGGATGAACTTGTTGGCTTATGGTTGGATTCTGGATCAATTCTGGGAATTTTAGACTCAAGATACAGAAAATACTTAGGTTTTAATACAAGTGTTAATACCAAACCTTTTTTCCTCAGAAAGCTGTATATAGAGCCCAAACTAGATAGTAGTTGTGTTATTGACCAGTATAGTATAGTTTTCAAGTTTTACTTACTTCTCTGGCATTAGCATCTCTAAAGCATTTATGTATTTATTTCTCTAAGATTACTCAAATGCAGGTATTTCTAAAAATATATAGGCTAAATTAAATGTATGAAGGTTCAGTACTTTAAGGAAGATTGAAGGGTGAAAGGGAAAAAACCTACCTAAACATAGTTATAGCAAGATACATAAAAATACAGCACAGAAAAAAGAAAAAGAATGGTATAATTCTTTTGGAGAAGCAAGAGGAGAAATGAAGTCCCTGGAAAGGAGTAAATCGAATTTATTTTTGAATGTAAAGAAATTCAGAATATAATTCCATATATCTTCATAATTTCAGCATTACATAACTGCACTTTAAAATATAGAAATTAAAGTTAATTACTTAAGAACCTAAGACTTTTTTGTATCTGTTATTAATATAGCTTGAGCATCACTAATTCAAAAATCTGAAACTTTTTGAGCATTCACATGACTCCACAAATGGAACATTCTGTGATCTACATTCCATGATGGGTTGTAGTCAAAACTCAGGTTCACAACTGGGCATGGTAATACATTTCCATAATCCCAGTACTCAGGAGGCAGAGGTAGAAGGAGGGTGAGTGCGAAGCCAGCCTGGGCTACATAGTTAGACCTTGTTTCAAGCCACGCCTTCCCCTCCCTTGCAAAAAAGGAAATAATAATAATAAACCCTCAGCCTCCCTAAAAATGTTTAAAATTACCTGCAGTATGAAACATAAGTGATTTTTCTGTTTAGACTGAGGCAAGATTTCTTTTGTATATGCTGGTATTCTCAAATCCCCCAAAAATCTAAAACATTTTTAGTTTCAAGCAGTTTTGAAAAGGGATGCTCAGCTTGTACATATTTTATCTAGAAAATAATACCAATATGTTCCTTTTTCCTTTTTGGTAATACTCCAAAGGAAGTCTTCAGTAGTGTTTTGTATGGAGACCCGTTGATTCTAGTAGAAATTTTTAAAATCAGGACATGAAGGTAGTTACACTTTTGCCTCAAGTGTATTAATTGAAAACAGTTGGATGTAAGGAAGCGAAGAGTGGGAAAGGAAGCAATAATGGAATGGTTATTATTTTGTATAACGTATATATGGATATTTCTAAAAATGCATAGGTTAGAGTGAGAATATAAAGACTTAAAGAACATTGGAAAGGGAGGGAAAAAAAACTACCTTTGAGATTTCCTTAGAGTCTGGGAAAAAGTCCAAACAATTATATTCTGTTTAATTGCTTGAAATAATTTAGTAGGTTATTTAGACTAGATGGTCTTTCTTGTACCATTTTTAAAAATAGGATTTAATTTTACTGTTAGAACTTCATTTTCATATATACTATTAAGAATTTTCATGTACCATTGAAACATGTTAAACTGAGATCCTGTTAATGGTTTTGATTTTCTCCTTTGTTTTTATTTCTTCAGAGTGCTGCTGCTACAGCTGCTACCTTAGCACTTCCTGCAGGTGTGACTCCTGTTCAACAGATACTAACAAATTCAGGTAATTAGCATTAAGGGATCTATATTTAAATATTGTTCATAAAATTATATGATCTAATATTTATGATATGTTTTGTCTTCATTTTAAGAGAGACAGTATTAGTGTTTTTCTGGCCATTTGGTTTAGGTTACTAAAATAACTTTGAGGGCTATAGCCACTTACAGTCATTGTTGAGGTTGCAGTACAGAAGATGAAAACTTCTCTTGTGCTTTCGATCTGTGACTAAGAACCCTATTGAAGAAGTATGATTATGTAGACATTCAGGGTGCATAGACAGTATGATTATATAGGAATGTTTGTTTACGGAATTTTATACTGAACTCATTTATCCTATCAAGTGAGTTTACACTTGTGTCACATGATCTAATTTGTGATATCAAGTTAAATCCTATAGTGTACCTTAAGATCAAATTTATAGTATATTACTAGACATAAATACCTATGTAATTTTCATACATGGTTTTTTAGTCATATTAGTGTTTCAAAAACTTAACTACAAAGATTTGTAAGTATTCTTTCTGTAGTCTTCATTTTATTCTTTGTTAGTTTCTACATTTGTGAAGAACAAGTTAACTCGTTGTGTATTTTTAATCATTTTAATTTAATTTAAAATTCTGGTGGGTCATCTAAAGCTATCTGTTATGGGATATTGGTTTTTTGTGTATAAGCCAGTCATACAATTAGTGTTATGAGGTATTCAATGCTGATTAGTTACTGTTCTTTGCAATTTTGAAGGAAAACACTGAGGTGTTTTGATTTAAGAAGTAAGTGAACTATTATACTTTGTTTCTTTAAATCTTTAAAGATAATATCCCCTAAAATGTTTGATCTTATTTATTGCTCTTTATTGACTGCTAACATGTGAGCAAAGGTAGTTCAGGCTTTTAATCAAGTCTAAATAAGGTTATTAAAACCTTACTAGAAAATAGCTGAAATAAGGACAGTAAATACAGAAAAGAAATCATTTAAATATTTAAGCAATGTATTTGAATATGGAGGGAAGTTAGGAGAGGTAGTGATTATAGTTCATTATGTATAGAAGAGAGCCCTTAATAAGATTGTTAGACTTACAACTTGATAAATTTCTAGGTTCTTCAGTGGTTTGACATTCAGTATTAATTTACTAATTGGATGATGATATCTGCTAAAAAGTAATGTGGAATGCATCTTTCTTTGCCTTAGGCCAACTTCTTCAGGTGGTCAGAGCAGCCAATGGTGCCCAGTATATCTTTCAGCCTCAACAGTCAGTGGTTCTACAACAGCAGGTTATACCACAAATGCAGCCTGGTGGAGTACAAGCTCCTGTTATACAACAGGTAAAGGAATTTTAGTTACGTCCCTAGGGTTTTTTTTTTTAACCTTCTTCTGTATAGATTCCTTGGGGGTGGTTGCTCTCTCTTTTCTTATGGTTTATATTTGCAAATTTTAGTGTCATCTTCAGTACCCAAAACTGTTACTTTAAATTCCTGCTGTGTACCTCACAGCTTAATTTGCATTCAGCATGTTTAATTGTGTAATAAAATGATTTTTGTTAGTATATATTAAATGTACAAAGCAAGGAGTTGCATTGTGAAGTTTACATTTGTGTATGCATATATAATGTATATCTGTATGGATCCTTTTCTCCTTCATCTTAGCCAGCATTTGTTGCTTGTTATCTTCACGATAGCCATTGTGACTGCGGTGAAATGGGATCTCAGTGTTACTTGATTTGCATTTCCTTGATGACTAAGAATGTTGAACACTTCTTATGTTATTGGACATTTGTACTTTTTTTGAAAACTGTTCAGTTCATCTGCCTATTTAATTGTATTATTTTTTCTTTTGATGTTTAATTTTTTGGAGCTCTTTATATATTCAGGATATTAATCCCTTGTCAGATGAATAACTAGCAAAGGTTTTTGTCCTATTCTGTATGCTGTCTGTTTACTCTCATAATTGTTTCCTTTGATGTGCAGAAGTTTCTTAATTAGATACAGTCTCATTTGTAAGTTCTTGCTATTTCTTGCACTACTGGAGTCCTCTTCAAAGTTTCAGGTCTTATATTAAGGTCTTTGATTCATTAAAAAAGAATTTTTTTTTTTTTTTGTATAGGGTGATTGATAGGGATACAGTTTCCGTACTTTATATGTGGATATCCAATTTTCCCAGTACCATTTGTAAGAGACTGGTGTTTCCAACATGTGTTTTTTAGGGTTCCTTTGTCAAGAATCAGGTGTCTAACTGCATGGGCTTATATCTGGATCCTCTATTCTATTCCATTCATCAGCATATCGATTTTTGTGCCATAACCATGCTGTTTTTGTTACTGTGGCTCTGTAGCATAATTTGAAGTCAGTTGTTATGATGCCTCAAGCTGTTCTTTTTGCTTAAGATTGCTTTGGCTGATCAGGGCCTTTTATGTTTCCATCTGAAATTTAGGATTGCCCTTTTCTATTTCTGTGAAGGATGTCATTGGGATTTTGATGGGGATTGTAGTGAATCTGTCAACTTCTTTCAGTTCATATAGCCATTTTCACAGTATTAATTCTGCTGATACATGAACATATCTTTCCGTCTTCTGATGTCTTCTTTAATTTCTTTAGATAGTGTTCATTGTAGAGGTCTTTTACCTCCTTAAATTTATTCCTAGGTATTTTTTTTTAGAGGTTATTGTAAATTTATTTTGAGGCATGTTTGTTATTGGTATATTATGTTTGGTATCTTGCTACTTTGCTGAATATGTTTACTAAATCTAGCAGTGATATCTTCAGAGTCTTTTCATGTGTAAAATCATATCATCTATAAGTAGGCATAATTTCGACTTCTTTGGTTCCTATTTGTATCCCTTTTATCTCTCTCTCTTGCCTTATTACTCTGGCTAAGAATTCAAACACTAATAAGAGTGGAGAGTGTGGACACCATGGACTTGTTGCTCATTTTAGATGAAATGCTTTTAGTTTTTCCCCATTTAGTACAATGATAGTTACGGGTTTGCCATATATAACCTAAAGACTATATTATAACATATAATAAATTATGGTGAGGTATTCCCTTTATTCCTAGTCTATTCCAGGCATTCAGCATGTTTAAAACCAAACTATTATTGCCTCTGCTCATCCTTCATCCTCCTGAATGTCTTTTCCATCAAGAGCATTCTCCATTCAGCCTTCTAGGCTGGTTGCTTGGCCTTTAGTCACAAAGGGGCTGGGACTTTAGGAATCAACAGGCAGACATAACTTTCATTCTTGATGCTTATGTATTTTCCTAATAGGTTATGTGGGATTCTGCATTTCTCTTTACTCCCAGTTACCTAGGTATCCATTTCTTCTTAATTAATTTATTTTTTTTGACTGACGTTTTCCCATATTTTCAGTCCTTCATAGATTTGGGAAAAAAAAAAAATATATATATATATATAGAGAGAGAGAGAGAGAGTTGGGGGGGAGTTTAATCTTACCATTTCTTGAGTTCATGGTATCATAATTTGTTGCAAAAAATGCTTTATCTTTTTTGCCTGCTTCTAATCTTATGCTCTCCTAACTTAACTGATTTATGGTCATCTTTTAAAAATTCTTAAAATCATTTAATGACTTCCCAAGCTCCTTAACATGCTTTTTGATTTTTTTTTGAGACAGTCACATAAACAGATAATAGTGTGATGGTAGAACAAGATTATTAGTCTAACCTAATTACAGCTTTCCAAAGTCATATGCTGCTATCTCTTCTGGGTTTCACTTGACATTTTTTTTATTTTGAATGCTACCATTGGCCTTGTATCCAGCAATTTCTCTGCTTCCTCCAGATAAATCATACAGAAAAGCCTGGTAATCTCCTTAAAGCACAGACAGAAACTCAAGTATTTCCTAGCAGAAAGGTTCCCTAACCCACACCTTATCTCCCAAGCTAAACTTGGCCCTATTCTATGCTTTCACAATACCACAGACTGTTTCTCTTACTTGAAATATTTGGGGCAAGGAGGGTGTCAAATTTGGGAATAAATTACATAGATTATCATCAATTAAACTTCCTAGACTGAAAATCTGAAAAACTCTGAAATCCAAAACCTACTCAGATTAGAGATGATCAACCTCTATTTTTATTATATCCTGTATCTTTTTTGAGTTACTATCGCTTTATTTTCCTACTGTACCATTAATCGGAGCCAAGTGGCAAGTAACAGGCATTCAGTGCTTTTTAATGTATTAACTACAATTGTGAATATGCTTAAATACATGTAGTTGATATTTGTTAGCATACTCTTTTCAGGTTGTGGTTAACTTTTGAATGTTAGAGTACAGAACCGAGAAAGAACTTTGGAAGTAATCATGCCTGCTGGTTCTCAGTAATCATTGCATTGAAAGAATCATCTGAGGAGTTTTAAAGGAAACTAGTAAAGTTTCATTTAAAATCACATCAATTAAATCAGAATGTTAGGGGTGGAGTCTAGGTACCAGTACTTTTTTAAGCTATTTGTTCTTATGTGTAACCAGTGTGGAGAACAGTTGATCCTGATAGTGAAATGATGAAACCCAAAAGAGGTTAAATGACTTGCTTCTGCAAGTCTTAGACAAAACTAGATCCAGGTCTTCAGATTCTCAGTCCAGTGTTTTTCATGTGGAGGCAGTGCAGCATAATAGTACAAGCATGGGCTCTGGACCAGAAGTCTAGGTTCAGATTTTGCTTCTTGGTTACTACAACCTTGCAAGTTACTAAGCCTTTCTACGTCTCAAGCAAATAAATAATTTGCATAACTCTTAGTGTATGGCATATACAAAGTAAATACTCTACTAAATGAAGAAATTAGCTTTCAGAAACTTCAGTGGTAAAATGGAAGTTTAGTGGATTAGCATACTAGGTAAGCATTGCTTTTTTGTACTTGGTAGTAACTATGAATGAGCTAAGGACCATATCTGGTGAGTCTTTAACATTTGGGTCAGTTCCTATCTATCATACTTAATCCTTCTAACTAATTTGTAATCTGTGTTTTTCTTTTGTCTTAGGTCCTAGCCCCTCTTCCTGGAGGAATTTCACCACAGACAGGTGTCATCATCCAGCCTCAGCAAATCTTATTTACAGGAAATAAGACTCAAGTTATACCTACAACAGTAGCAGCCCCCACACCAGCACAAGCACAGATAACTGCAACTGGCCAGCAGCAACCACAGGCTCAGCCTGCTCAACCTCAAGCTCCACTGGTGTTACAAGTTGATGGAACTGTGGATACATCATCTGAAGAAGATGAAGATGAAGAAGAAGACTATGATGATGATGAAGAGGAAGATAAAGAGAAAGATGGAGCTGAAGATGGGCAGGTGGAAGAAGTAAGTTTCTAGTAAAAGACTTGAAAAGAAAAACTACTCAGTAATTTCCAGTTTCTATTTAGTGTAGCAAACACACAAATTATTTTCTAGTTTTTCAGAGGCTATTAGATGCTATACAACATGTCTGTTCTAATTAAGTTGTATTAATAAGGGTATTGGAGACACTGCAAGTAATTCTAACTCCTATTCATAGTATAGTTTATACATAAGAAATTGATAATTTATTGCCCTCAATGCAGAGAAACTAATGCAGATGCTTTAAAGCGACAGAGGCCAATAGGAGAAGGGGACCAGGAATTAGAGAAAAGGTTAGTTCAAGAAGAATTAATTTAGAATGTAACACACATGTACAGGAAAGCAATGCGAGTCAACTCCCTATATAGCTATCCTTATCTCAACTAGCAAAAACCCTTGGTCCTTCCTATTATTGCTTATACTCTCTGTTCAACAAAATAAGAGATAAGGGCAAAATAGTTTCTGCCTGGTAGGGAGGTAGAGGGAAGGGGTTGAGGAAAGGGAGGGGACAAGGGGAAGTAGGGACCCAAACATTGTATGCACATAGGAATAAAAGAAAAAAAAAAGAAATTGATAAAACATAGCTATGGCTAATCTTTTGCTGTAGTAATTAAAAAGACATGGCAACATTTGGTGAGAAGAGGACACTAAATGTGAGATTTATTCAAACTCTCCTTTAGTCTTTGGTTCATATTTTATACCAGTTGCTCCTTCATAACTTTATCTGTTCTTAGTGTTGTCTACCCTGGTGTCTAACAACTATTTAAATTTTTTTTTTTTTTTTAATGTTCCCTAGGTACCCTTTCCAATCCCATTCTCTTCCTTCTTTAGTCAGAGTATTGATGCCTATGAATTTTGTATTTAATTTTCCTTTATATTTTAGCAAAGTGTTACTGTTCCTAAAGAATATATTGTTTAGTTTTGCTTGTCACTTTATAACATAAACAAAATAATTCTTCATGTATTTTTCTGTATCTTGTGTTTTTTTTTTTAATGGTATTTTTGAGGTTTGTCCAAGCTATTACATATAGCTATAATTATTTTTCCTGTTGACTATACCATAATTTATTTATCCCTTTCCTGATCTGAGACATTAGTATAGGTTCTAGTTGTTTACTGCTTCAGACAACTTAAAATATTCGTTATGTCAAACATTGACATGATAAATATCAAGGCATGTACATCTTCAGCTTTAAAATAAAATGCCAAATTGTCTTGCTGATTATATCACAGTCATTTAGTACATAATTGTTGTATACATCTTCACCAATTCCTGATACCATCAGGCTACTTAACTTTTGCTGGTCTGGTAGGTAGAAAATGGTGCTTCATTTTGGTTTTAGTTTTCATTTCCTTGAATATTAATGAGTTTCAACCTCTTCTCATGTGTTGTTACTTGGATTTTATCACATGGAAGATGCTCATGCAGGTCTCCTGTCTTTTTTTGGTGGGGGCGTTACTAGGGTTTGAACTCAAGGCCTTGCATGTACTAGGCAGGTGCTCAACCATTTCAGCCACACCCCCAGTCCTTTTTGTCCATTTTTATTCCCAAAATTGTTTTTATTTTTGGGCAGTGCCAGAGATTAAAGCTGGGGCCTCATAACCTGCTAGGCAGGAGCTCTTCTGTTAAACCATATCTCTAGTCCTTCTTTGTATGCCTCCGTAAGTGACATTTTTATTACTTTTCCTCTTTTTTGCTGGCAGTGTTGAAATTTATAGTGCTTTTAATATTCATTATTAAGCCAGCCACCTTTCTAAAAATGTTTTCTGTTAAGTTTAATAATGTCTCTGTAGATATTTTTGTGTTTTCTACATAGATGGTCACATCATAGGGGAAACATGGCAGTTTTTCTTGCTTACTGGCTAAGCCCTCCAAACAATGTTGATTAGAAATGGTGAATTGGTACCCTTACCTTGTTCTTAAACTTAACAGTAGGTTTTTTTTTATGGTTAACTATTAAGTATAATATTTGTTGGTATTTTGTGGATATTATCAGATTAAGGAAGTTCCCTACTGTTCATAATGAGCTAAGATTTTTTTCTTTGTTTTTTAAACTGTTAATGAATGTTGTATTTTATTAAACACTTTTCTGCAGCTATTAGATAGTCATACAGTTTCTTATTGTTAGTCTGTTATTTACTGTGAATTTCATTAATTTGTCTTCTATTTGCAAACCAATCTTGCATTCCTGGGATAACACCTTGATCGTTAATGTTACCCTGTTTCATTTAGTTGTTGTTTTGTTTTTGGCAGTGCTGGAATTTGAACTCCAGGCCTTGTGCTTCCTAGGCAGGTCCTCTCACACTCAAGCATGCCTGCAGCCCTTACATACTACCTTTAACAAATTGCTCTGTTTACTGTGTTCAGGACTTTGATCTATTCATATGTAATTCTGTTATTTTCTGTTGTCATACTCTTCTTACCAGGTTTTCAGGTTAATAGTATAATAGTACCTTACTAATAGTCCTTATTTGATCAAGTATTTTGGGGTTTTCTTTTTTTATTCTTTTGGTAAGGTTTCTTTATAAGACACTTCTGATAAATTGTGTTTTTCTAGGAATTTTCAAATTGACAAGCATAAAATTAATCACAATTACAGTTCTTTAATGCCAGAATAATTCATAGTCATTGCCTGTTTTTTCCTCATTCCTTGTATTATTGTGCCATCTTACTCTTTTTTTAGTCTTAGCAGAGGTCTGTTTTCATCCTGTTTTCAAAGAATCAGCTTTTAGCTTTAGTTCTCTAGTGTGTTTCTTTTTTTTCTGTTTTATTTCTATTTTTTACTTGGTTTTGTTTGTAGAGAATATGATCTGTGTGATGTGTAGATCCTTTGAAACTGAAAAGCTTAACTATTTTAATTATATTTAATTTCTTGCTGAAAAGCAGTAACATTGACAAACTTTAACTCATTAATAAGTCTACATTCAGACTGGCAGGGAGTGACTCAAGTGGGAAAAGGCCTGTCTAGCAAGTGAGAGGCCTTTTCAATTCTCAGTACTACTAAAAAACCAAAAAAACCCTACATTCATAGCGTATATAAATATGCATTTGGTACTTGAAGAACATCAAGATCATTATATTTCTTCTTATTGAATGTTAGATGGGCCTTTTTATCGTCCTATGTGGGATATACTTATAAATTCTCCTTTTATTTGTAGGAACCCCTCAATAGTGAAGATGATGTGAGTGATGAGGAAGGACAGGAACTCTTTGACACAGAAAATGTTGTCGTTTGCCAGTATGATAAGGTAAGAATTTCACCTTCAGTTTGCTGGCAATTATTTTTGTTTTAATTTCTTCTTTAAACCATCCTTTTGGACTCATTGAGACATGGACAGCTGATTTATGCCCCTTTCATTTTTTAATGAACATTGTGACAATACTGATCGTAAAATAAGTAGAACTAATTTCTTAGTTTTACAATTGAAAAATAAGTAATGAATGAAATGGAGAGCAGTATGATCATCTTTCTATTCAGACTGTCTCAACTTCTAAACAAAGTCACTTTGAGATTGTCCTTCAACAACAATAAGTTTAAAAGTTATTTAGCTTTGCTGTATTTTGGTAATATTAGCAATTTTTGAACCAAGTTCTATGGGAATTGGTTTCTGATTTTTTTGTTCTTAATTCTTAATTAAGCAGGGTGCTGTTTCCAAGTATTTTGTTATAGTCATTGGCATTATTGAGATTTTTTTGTAATCAGGATATTGAAATTGGAATAAAATTTGCTTTTTTACCATAGTTATTAAATTTGTGAAATACTCACATATTACATTGCATTTTTTTATTTTAGTATCTGTCTTTACCAAATGCTGAAAACTACCAGAAGCAATTGGATTTTGTTTGCAATCATTCATTTTATTCATTCAATAAATATTTATTGAATACCTAATAGTACTAGACATTTCTGAACAGTCATAAACAAGCAAGATTTGTGCTCTGCATGAAGTTTCCTTTACAGATAAAGAAAATCTTAAATTTGTGTTGCTTTTATAGAATGAATGTGACAAGTAACTATGCTTATTGCAAACAAATCTATAGGGAAAATACTAAGGCAAAGGACCTTATTTCTAATAAAAAGGTAAAACCAGTTATATACAGTCCAGTGATGTTTACAGAATAAAGTCGGCAAGATTATTGAAAGTTTCATAGCATCTACTTTTATGCATTATAACTTCCAGAGAGTGTTCTCAATACCCTGTACCAAGAACATTACAGCAAATGTAATTTCTTTTTATATACATGTAGAACAAGAGTATGAAGTTATAGCAGCAGATACCAATAAACCTTTATTGTGAGGAAGTCTCAAGGGAACTGCTTGCAACCAAATTATTCAATACATAATTTCATTGATAATACAGTATAAGATTCATTAGGCAAGAAAGCCTGACAGAAGAATACTTTCCAAGTATTTTCCTATTGAAAGAAAATGTATGCTCCTTTGATAAACTGCACATAAAGTATTTTAAATAAACATTTTCTAAATTTTGCTTCTAGGTATATTACTTTAAAGTCTTAATAAATTTTAAATAGCTTTAAATAATGGGCTTTTTAAAGTTTTTAAAGGTCTAATTATAAGAATTAGAAAGATTGAAGCAGTGGGATTTATTTATTTATTTATTTATTTAAAAGCCAACAGTGAATGGTAGTGTATTTTATAGTATTTTATAGTTGTTAAATGAGGTTGAATGTGGTTTGAGCCTGCTTGAATTTTAGGAGATTAGTTTTAAAACCTAACATTTAGAATGTCAACAAATCAATTTTAGGTGATCATAGAAAGAATAATGAGGTGTATATTGTCAGTGAAGTCAGACTGTTAACACTAATATTGTGGCAGAGTTCTCAAGTGTGGGTAGATAAGGGCTGTTAGAGCTCTTGGTGAGAATGATGTGTAAGGTGTAGACGCTTCAGCTTTGTTTATAGGTAATTTTACTTTAGTACATTTTCATTAGGAAGTTTAAGAGGCTTTTCTCTCGGTGTTTAGGACATTACTTCATGAAGAATTTAGTAAGCCAGTAAAATAAATTGCTTTTCAAATTGCACTTTGTACTTTTATTCAAATAAAAATGTTTACCACTTACCATTACCCAATATGACTTCAGTTTTGAGTATATGAATGATTATTTGACCCATAAAACTTCTCTGCATTTGGTTTCTACAAGTTACTGCTCAACAAAATGCAGTCAGCTTCCTGACAAATGTCTGTGAAATTCCTGTTTCCTGGCCACTTACCATTTGTTTTTCTGTATATAATCTTAGTGACTTTTAGGTGACACTTAGCTCATAATAAATTTGTATACTCATTTTTTAGGCTAATTAATAGTTTACAGGGGATCAAAGAAAAGGGGGAGATAAGAGGTTTTGTATTTAACATACTTAATGATTGCTTATAGGATGACTTAGGAGCTTGAGCTAACACTAGTGAACAAAACAAAAAAATTCCTTATTGGGAAGCTTATGCTAGTGGAGGTAGACAAATGCTAAAACATAAGAAGGCAGTATTTGTTATGGAAAAATACAGAGGCGGGAAAGAAGGGCCAAGTTTTGATTTTAAATAGAATAGTCATAATAAGAAGATGACATTCCAGAGAAGAAACATTCTAGTTTAGCATATATTGTTGGGTCTATCTGTTAGACATTCCAGTCATCTCCCTAAAGATGTTAGATTTAATATCCACGTAGTTTGTTTAGATCAGAGTTATAAGGGACCACTTAATGTAAGAGTCTCTGCTCTGCTTTCTGTTTTTAACTTTATTGTGCTCTGTTGTGTTTTAATAAACAAACAAACAAAAAAAAGATTGAACCTATAGGAAGAGCATAAGAGTTTTCCAAATAACATGAAGGGCTGTTTAGGTTTTGGTAAAATCTCAAAAGACTGAGCTAGGATCAATAAATTGAAGTTAGAGGAACCAGATTTCAGCAAGGGGTATAGTACGAAAGACCTAAAAAAGAGCTAGCCCAGAACGGAGTGACTTAATATGGATTTCTTTGCCCTCAGCTTCTAATCATATTCAAGCAGATACTGAATAACCATATGCCAAGAATATTTCATAGAGAATGTTTGCACTACAAAATTAGGCCGTGGGATTTTAGAATTGGGATCTCAGAAAATACCTGTACCTGGTGAGCATTTCTGCATCATTACATGAAAAGTTTCATGTTAGGTCTTGAGAACACTAGAAGTTTATTTTAGTAAAAGAAATCAGAGTATAATTGTATTGCTTATAAAAAATTGTAAATTACTTTAGTGAACACAAAAGTACCAAGACCTGTAAAATAAGACTAATTATACATACTTAGAGAGAACACCTAGTAAGTATTTAAACTTTATTAAGAAATCAGATAGCAAGCACCATATTATAAAAGACAGTTTTGTGAAAGGGTTTTTTGTTGATTTTTGTCTTCTTACTGTATCTCTTACATTTTTATTTTGTTTTTGTTCATTTAGATACACAGAAGTAAAAATAAATGGAAATTTCATCTCAAGGATGGCATTATGAATCTTAATGGAAGAGATTATATATTTTCCAAAGCCATTGGAGATGCAGAGTGGTGAAGAGTTGTTTCTTTTCTTTTATAAATAAAACAAAGAAACTTAAAAAAAAATTAAAGTGAACATTTTGAAACTTGGGACATATACCAACCAAAACTTCACTTCTGCATGTCAGAAAAGTGCAGTAGAAGCAAAGCTACTGGAACAAAGATAGACCTTGACAACATAGACACTACTCCTAACTGGCAAGCCATGGAACTGTAGCACCTGGGGTTTTGGGGTGGGAGGGAAGGGTTTTGTGTAGGAAAACCATAATTGTCAATTTTAAATACAGGAACCTGCCACTGGTAATTAGCATGTAAAGCTTTGTCTGTATACCTTCCTCCAACTTGGGCTCAAATCAGAAGTTACTTGTTGGAATGAACTGAAGACGCTTCCCTTTTGATAGATTGAACTGAAACTGCTTATTGTATGTGGTTATATTTGGTAAAAATTGCGTTTGAGCTTTTTACAAAAGGGCAAGAATTATGGTGTTGAATTTTAATTCACTTGTATAAGAAGACAATTTAAAACTCATAATAGGTCTTAAATATTTTTACTTGTTATTATTCTCCCTCAGTAAGGTATACCTCTCTCTTCCCTGGTTTATGAAACATCTAAGATTTAAGGAAAATAAGTGATCACAGTTTGGAGACAAAATTTGACCCAGAAATGGATATTTAATTAGGTTTTCATACTTGTTAAATGTAATTTGAAGACTTGGGTCTTATCTGAGTTGAGTGGAATTAAAATGACAACTTCAATTTCCTTACAAAGAACTGTGTTCGGTCCCACACTTTGTAAAAGAAGCCCCAGATTGGCTCCTCAGGAATACATTTTTTATTTCACAAAGGTACCATCTAGCTAAAATTAAATATACATGAGTAGATAAAGATTTTCTTGTTGGGCTGAAGTGTGTGCTTATATATGCATATAGTCTTTGAGCATTCAGATGACATTCTGTACACTGAGTGACACATAAGGGCAGGTGGTGAGGATCTGGATTTTTATTAAACTATTTAGTAATAATAAAAGTTTCTTGTGTTTACTAGTAAAGAATTAAAAAGCTATTATTTTAATTGAACAAATTTTTTTAAAGCAACTTTGTAATTTGAGGGGAAAATTGGGGTGGGGGTAGAGGGAGGTGGGGCCACTAAATACATGCTTACCTCTCTTTCATTGGGTGGCCCTTCCAGGCCATTGATAATATAGACTTGGGCTCCAGTTTGCACATTGGAATAAAAGCATAGAAATTTGACTTGTATATTAAAAATAGAAGTTTAATATGTATATTTAAGAATACATAGCTCCAATTTCTCTAAGGGGCTCTAAAGAACAATATGGCACTGCTGTGTTCAGTGTGAGTCAGCTGCCTGGGAGAACTTCAGGAACACTTGCCTTCACCTTTGTGTTCTACTAACTAATATGACTTTCCATGTTTTCTTAACAAAACTCGCATGTGCTTAAGTTTCTTGTATATTGACTTTTGTTGTCTTCCATTTTTGTCTTTTATTTGCCTTTATATGTTTCTAGAAGTAACAGATAAACACTTTAAAATGTATTACAAAGGAGAAAACTGTGAGCTGTTATATAGTGTTTTCTTATTTTTTTAACAAATTTTGAAATTTCTCAAACGGTTAATCTTTTTTTTTTTTTTTTTTTTTGCCTACTTCCCACCCCTCTTACCAACGTGATCTTTTTAACTTACGTTCTTAAATTTGGTATAAATGGTGGTGTCTAGCATGCTAATAGTTAGGTTTTACTTAGCTGCCATAACTGGTAAATACAATTTTTATTTTGATTAATTTAGCTTTTTGAAGGAAAGTTTGTTTACTCCACTACTCTCAAAGCACACACAGCTTTGTTGTTTATTAAATAAGACTGGGAAGTGGGGAGGGAGTAAAAATACAAAGGTCCTTTTGTTCAGTTGTCCTTCAGTATAGTACTGGTAAGTTTATATTTACTCAATGAAGAAGTCAATGACCTGTGCTACCTATAAAAGTTTAGCAATGCTGCAGTGAAACTCTGGCTATTTAGTAGTTCTTATGCTACTGAAATTTGGATTACTGTATGACGTTCAGTTCATGTCTTGGGCCCTCTTTGTAGACAAACATTCATATGCATAGTAGCATTGTATACTGGCCTGTTTTTTATAGCTCTATTTTCAAACATGAACAACCCTGCTTTCAGAGTGACTCACTAGGGTTATTAGGAAGCAAGAAATAACCATTTGTATTTGCACCTGTGTATTACATATGAATTAAAGCATACTTGGCAAATGCTTTTCTTTTATCTGTGAAAATTCTAAAAGCTGGTCCAAACATTACTACATACCAAATTGTGCTCTTAATATACTACTATATTGTATTCTTTTTAAATCAAATAGCATGTTTTATTTTTATTATAGTGGCTTTTGCTGTATGAATGTCACTTACTTTAAATTCTTAATCATGCTTTTAACATTATATTTAGAAAATCATTTCATTAGGTTCCATTAAAATGTCATTCCTTTGAAAAGGCAAGGGATTCCCACTTTCAAAATTTTTTAAATGAAAGTAACATGTTTATCCAATGTGGTGAAATAGCTCCTACTTATACTATGAAAATAAGCAGTGGTTTCAGACAGTGCACAAATACTAATGGCACCTTTCTTATTAAAAATTAATCCATAGTGCTAAGGAAAATTTAAGCAAAATTCCTAAAGTGGAAATGTGTGCCTTTCAGTATACAAATTCTTGCTTGGTGATCATTTTATTATCAGATCACTTGAATGCCTGAGAGCACGTGTAATTTCTGAAGGGCGCGAAATGTGGCTAACCCAACTCTTTAATGTGCAATTAGTAAAACATGATAAGAGGGGATCTTAATACTGGACTTTTATGTGTTTTGAAATATTCACCTTTCTGTTAAGTATCATAATTTCACATTTATGCTGTTGCCTTTTTAAAAAAATCAGAGCCACTGATGTTATGATTACATCAAGATTTGAACAGTGTGTATAATGATTAAAATGTTCTGACAAGCAAATAGATCTGGATTTAGGAAATAACATAAGAATATAATAGCTTTTGTATAAAGACTTTCTTTTGCTATGTTGAAAATCAAGCTTTTTTTTCTGGCTTTTATGGAGGAATGAAAAGAGTTCTCTCCCTCTAAGAGTAATTTTTTTTAATTATCTCATAGCAATAATGTCACCATTATTAGAGGATAAATAAGCCTTGTGTAGGAAAACATATAATTTCCTCTTGGGAGTTCCCTTTATAATTTAGCATTTCTTCCACTTGAGAAAATTCCTATATTTTCAGATTATTTCATCTTGAACTTTTTTGAGCTTTTGTGCAATGTAATATTTTATTGATCTGTCTTTGTACATTTTCATCTCCCTGCCTACCTGTCTCAATCACCTATTAACAGACTTTGAATTTGTTGGTTAAAAATAGTTAGTTTATATGTTTCCTCATGGGTTTGCATTTTAATTACTTGTGATACAGAAATTATTCTGAAGTTTATATTTTTCCCTTTTGCCTTAGTCTATCTTTTGTCATTTTGAGTAGTTTAAGGAAGAACACATCAAACTTACTATTTTATTTGGAGGAACAAAAACTTCTCTTTTAAGAGAAGAACTATACTGAGTCACTACTCTTTCAGTTACGTTTCATTCAGTCCGTCCAGTATGCATCAGGGCTACAACTTGTGGGGAGGAGCTAATCCTTTTTACTGTTCTGAGCTACTGTTGTCAACTGCTGTTGTACATACTGTTATGTGTAAGGGCGTAAATATATTTATTATGTTTGTAAAATTCATTCTGTACAATTGCAGATCAAGTTTGCTTTTCTGTGATATATGGGATATTATGTTTTAAAGACCATCTTGGAATACAACTAGAGAACTTAGTATTTTGATGTACTAAGACCTATTTTAAGTTTAATATTTTACCTTTGCAAAATCTTTAATTAAAGATGTTATTTAAAAAAGTAATGTGGCTTGCTTTGCTTACTAGTCTATGACATTGTATATAGATAACTGAATAAACTTACACAGTTTAGAAAGGAAAACACTTTACCCTGTTAAAGAGGCAAATTTAACAAAAATAAAGGGTATCACTAACCTCTGTACCTTTAAGATACATAGGTTAGGATGTCAGTCTGAATTACAAAACTGTGGTACAAATTCTTAATAGCCTTCCAAAAGTTGTATTTTCCAGCCTCGCAGGAATTTAGATTGGTCTAAATTCACACCAACTGTATATTAAAATTAATATAACTTAACATTGTATTAAATTGAGTATTTCTACTACAAAGTATAGATTACTTATAAAATTATTCAAGAACATTATTGTTTTCTTATTTCCTTGTCTAGCTAAATCTTTTTCTCTTCAGCATTTGTAAATAATTGCTTATTAAGAGAATTGGATTTTTGAGGTTTGTATTACATACTGAATATATTTTGTGTTATTTTAGAAGGTATTAAATAATTAGTATTTTAATTTTATAATTAATTCAAATGAGTCATTAAGAAAGCTTGCCTTTTTGCAATTTTTATCCTGTTACAGACTATCTAGAAAACATGCAAATTTTAACAATCATAATAAATTTTATTTATTGCCAGCAAATCTTGTATTTTCCACTTCAAGCTCCTATATTTTTTTGTTTGTTTGTTTTTTGTTTTTTTGCAGTACTGGCGTTTGAACTCACCTTGAGCCACTCCATCAGCCCTTTTTGTGAAAGGATTTTTCAAGATAAGGTCTCATGAACTATTTGCCCAGACTGGCTTTGAACCATGATCCTCCTGATCTCTGCCTCCTCAGTAGCTAGTATTGTAGGCATGAGCCACTGGTGCCCAGCTATGATCTTAATTTTTATCTCAGTTTCTCCCATCTGTGACATGACAAGATTTTGAGAATTAAAGTAGATATTTGCATAATTTAAGATGACTAGCAAAACTGAAAAAAAAATTTAATGACCAAAATAGCAAAAGAGAAATGTGACTAATTAAGAGGCAGTGAAAGATTTGATTATAGACAAACCTGTCAGGACAAGTTGATAAAGCAATGCCTCTGTCTGCAGCAGTCATTGTCAGGGAAGGAAAGTGAGTGATGAATACAGGAGAGGAATAATGAAACATGAAGGCATTATGCCTTTTTAAACCAAAACACATCTGATGTATGTCTAAAATAGAATTTTCTCAAAGCTGAAACTATGGTAGAACTGTACTATTTAAAAAATTATTTTCCCAAATATCAGTGGATCACGCACAGTTCATTAAAGGATAAAAAGTTTCCAGCATCAAGCTATGAATACCATACTCTGATTCTCATAATATTTTCTCCATTTTGAAAATAGACCGTGGAGATCTGGAACTTCCCATACTAAGGATGCCATGGTTAAGGCGGCAGTACTGGGCAGAGCAGGTAGAGCCAGGAAAACCAAGAAGTCCACCCAGGTTAATTTAAAGAGATGAAGAAAGTAAAGGGTTTGGTTTTTTGTTTGTTTGTTTGTTTTACTTTACTTTCAACAGGTGCATGAGGGACACTTATTTTGGCTTCTCAGTGTCAGCACATCTTATTTTGCTTGATGTCAGGAAAGGGCAATCTATTTCTCTGAAGAAGTAGAATTGCCAGTGAGGAGTCATCTGCCTCTGCACCCAGAAATGGACACAATTTTTGGAGGTCAGTCCAATGCTTGCATGTGAGACTGAATCTTGAAAGCCTGAAGCAACGATGGAGGGTCAATCAAAAGGTCCTATGTACATATGTTAGGTCTGGGGCAAGGAGGCCAGTGGCAGTCTTAGCAGACTTGCCGAGTCATGGCTTTACTTCCCCTTGCTGATTGCTGCCTGAGCTAGGCCCTTCCCTTTGATTCTGCAAATCACCCAACCAATTCCTTTTCTATTTAAAAGTGTCTATTTGTGTTGTTTGCCGCCCAGAAAAGTCATCTGAGAGTGAGATACCATTAGCATTAAGTTGGTGTGAAAGCTTTATTAATCACACAAGTAGTGTCCCTTGCATGACTCAACTGCAAGGCTACATGTCTGTTTAGTACACATACACTTTCACATCTGCTAGTAGATTGGGCTAAACAAGGTTGGTTTTTCAGCA